TGCAGAGCGGTACGCAGCATCTAGGCATTCTAAGGCTTCACCGGCAGCGTTTAACACGCTACCGCAACGTTCGACGCCGTATTATTGAGAACTAAACGCAACAGGGCGTAGACGCAGTGCGGGCACCAAGATGGGGCGACAGCGCGGCGTTGCTGTCTGGCAACATTGTGTTTTGGCGGGCGGCGGTGCGTTGGCGGCATGTAGTGGGTCAAACGCTGACATCACCCTAAAAACGGCTGTTCATGTAGGCTCCCTAACTGTTGCTCCGCCGCCTCTAAACGCGTTCACGGGCGCAGTGTGCGCGCCACAGTGCTATGGCCATCATAACAGCGCTGAGTACGAGGAACAGGACCAACTGCGGCGCCTGAATTCTTGAAGATGAACGTTTTATCCACACAATACAGCTCGGTCGTTGCATGTGATGAGGTTAAAATGGTATAGTCGACCTCTGAGAGCACCGCTTACCCAGTCGCAACCATTCCGGCAGCTCTCCCGGATTTTCGCACACGCATGTTGTCACAAGCAACAGTAATCCATTACAGCTCACAAAATTCAGAGAGAAAAAGCAATATTTATTTTGTCGTAAGGTGGACTAGAACTTCCCGTAGGTAGACGGCGATGACTCCTCTTTCCGTTTCGTCGGCTGTCGAGGAGCCGAGGGGCCACGCGCTGCAGGTTCTTTACGCGGCCTCTTCGTAGCCGGGAACATATACGAAGGATACTGATCGAAGACCGTGGGCACGGCTCCTGGACGCAGTTTCCGGATACGATATCCGGGAACATAGTCATTTTCCGTGAAGTGTTTGCTGCACACTATAGTCGATGCGGACTTGTCATTGATGACGAGGTTTTCACGTGAAACATTTTTCCTCCACTTCGAACACAGTTCCTCATCGCTAGGAAATTGGTGGTACGACACACCCGGTGTCTTCCCTTGCTGTGACTTACACAGCGGCACGCAACAATAAACCATGGCTACGCTAGTGCAGTTAGCGTGCCTGAGCGTGTCTGATGCATTGTTTACCCGAGGTCATCGAACGCAGTCAAGAAAAGTCGCAGTCGGCGACGCGGGGAGCCGGCGGAGCTTACAGTGAGGTGGTGCTGCCCTCTACGCGTCAGAAAAAAATATATGCGCGGCGCCGGTATTGAGAAGGCCGTAAAGGAGCGTGCGGAAGGAGCGTCGAGTCCGGCCGTTACCCCACATATCAATCAAACTGATGCATGTTGTAGCTGGATAGCACAATTTTTTATATGCTAACGTTCCTTCTACTGTCCTGTCTAAAAAAGATTTGTGCTACCTAGGCGTAGAACGCGTAGGTGACAAGTGAAATATTCTGGTCGAGTTTTCAAAGCAGCCGATGCCTTTATCTTGTCTACTTATCACTTAAGGCTGTCGTGATTTCTGCAAACCGGGTGGCGCGCCCACTCGGTTGTCATTGTAAATGAGTCCGAATCACAAAAGTTCAATCGAACGTTGGCGCTTGCGTCTACTCCTTTCGCCCCTCGCTGAAGTAACTTCTTTGGCTCAGAAGAAATCACGTCACCGGCCAGCTATTGCGTTTGGTCTCAGTGACAGGCCAGTAGCGTAGGTTGATCTAACGAGCGCCTGTGGCTACGTATGCCATAGCACATTCCGGCCTACCCAAAACCGGCAGCCGCGCTGTATTTTATAGACCTTCGCTGTATTGTTTCGAACGTCTCACTGTTGCTATACACTCGCAACGAAATGGGATAGAGCCTTGGAAGGCGTCTTTTGCCGATGTTTCTACTGCAGCGTAAATTGTGAGTCCGCCGTGTCTTCGTTCGTATTCGTGTATTTCTTTTTTATATACATATTTCGACAAAGCCGTCCCTAAAGAACCTATCTGCGCAGAACACTACACTGCTTGGTATTTTTTTCTCCGAACGACGTTCACGCAGAACTTTTTTTTTTCATTTTATCGCCATTTGCAGTGAAGCCTTTTCTCGTCTTGCACGAGCGAAATACGCGCATTTGTCAACGTAATCCGGAGTCCGAGTCCGCCACTTCGTTCTGTGGGATACGGAGTGCGTTTCAATGTTCCTTATTTCGGGAGTGCGCGGCTGAGGTCCGGCGCGATTTTGCCGAGAATTATTAGCCAGACTATCCGGAATCGCACACACGTTTGTGCGTGCGTTCGAGCGAAATCACTTGAACATGCCTTCGAACGCAATGCGTACGGGGAGGGCCGAGCTTCGCGCGATTTCGCGTGAACAAGGCTTCAAGGAGCGTTTTTCCATTTGCTTTTTATGCCTCTTTCCTTTTCTTCCCTAAGCCGTTAGAGTTAGATCCATCTCTGTCTTGCGTCTGATTGTTTCGCGAAAGCAAGCGCAAGGAAAACTGTTCAGTGAAAACGTACGGTAAGACCGTGGACGGCGCAATCTTTTATCCGCGCTGCAAAGCGTAAGACCCGACCGAGTAACTGCGGAAATGAAGACGAAAACAAAAAAAAAGGTGTGGGAGGTAAGGGGAAGGGGAGACGCGGTGAGCTGACGTGGAACAAGCGAACCGTTTGACTCGTGGGAGTTTGGAGGAGGCGTGGGTATAGCGGGCGCCACCGCTACACGGGCCATTAGTTACTCCCGACCTAGCACTCTAACGGTGCGGGCTTTTAATTTCTTTTATTTGCCCCTCTTAAAAAAAAAAAACTGCTGTGACATTCAGCCGAGCGTATACTTGTTTCTGCCTGCGTAAGCTTCGATGCTCGCTCCCCATTTCACCTTGCTCCTTTTTGTCTTCTCTTTAACGGTAGTTCTTATATAGGACTGCAACGTTTGAGCTACGCGCTGTAAATCCTGTGCCAACTTGGATTTTTTCTTGCGTGTGCTTCTTAACGTTAACAGATGTCGTGGCAACGAGATCGTTATTTGTGGACCTCCTCGTTCCGCTGTGCGATGTATTTGCGCGCGTGTCTGTACGTTGATGAGTGCATGCGTGCGTGTTTGAGTGATGGTGCGGTGTTTTTTTTTTCTTATACCTCAGTCGCTCTACATTTAAAACTATGGCATAGTATTAAACGCGCGATTTTTAGAGCAACTTTTACAGTAGCTTAGACATGTTTACTCTTATAGCGCGCAGCTTTCTCGCCGGGATTCCACAACATCGCAGGCGGACGCTATTTAGGTGACGTCACATGCGCGTTACTAGGGAGTTTTAGAATACCCTTTGCAAGCGCTGCGGGCGCCATATGAGCTTTAGAATAGCGTTTGCCCTGCTGCGATCCGCAACGCACGATCGCAGCGACACCGTAGCCTCGAAACCAGCGCTTGGGGCCACATGCGGGCCGCCATCACCGCACGCAGTTTCAGATTTTTTGCGTGCGGTCCGCGAACGCCGACTCGCGTTACGACGCATGCGCAGTGGCAGCGACCGCACCGCAAGGGCTCGCGGTGCGCTATTCTAAAACTCCCTGCTATTGGCGTGTTTCAACTGCGCCGGTGTTATAATACTAACATCGAAAGTTTTCACATCCCAAACTGAAGCTACGACATTGAGAGACGCTGCAGTAGAAGGCTTCGGAAATTTCGACCATTTGGTGTTCTTCAACGTGCACTGCACAGTACACGGGTATCTGCCATCTCGCCTCCATTGAAAGGTTACCGCTGCGGCCGCGGGATCGAACCAGTGGCCTTCGGGTCAGCAGCCAAGTATCTCGTCCACTGCTCCACCACGGCGGACGACGTCGGTATCACCATACGCCAAGTACGATAACACGCCACCTTCGTGGTGTTCGCGTCTTTTTTTTTTTTTTTTTGAGCCTTCGAGACATCTTTTTAACGTTTTTTATGATCTCATAATGCTGTATACCCTTAACAGTGATTCACTTGCGCTACCTAAACGTCTAAAAAAGCTGCGTACTGGCCACTGAGGTGCGGTATTACCTCGCTTATCGTACCATGAACCGGCGCTAATAAAACACTTTGGTGTTGTCCCCACAGCCAGCTAAGTACCGTTCGAACTTTCACAATATCCCACCGCTTACTTTTGTTACTCACATTCATCCGTTTTTTTATTTTGCGTATTTGTATATTCAATCTAGTCCAGGAGCAGTGATGTTTGATTCATATTCCTGTAATAAAACACATAGAGGCGTACAAGAATATTTTACTACGTCGTGGAGATCGTGTCTTCTCTTATGCTTAGCGCGAGAAACTGCAACTTCCAATCCACACACCGAATCTGCGGGATGTTTTTTCACTTTTTTTACGTGGTCGCTGTCGCCTCGGTCGTGCTAATAATAATAATAATAATAATAATAATAATAATAATAATAATAATAATAATAATAATAATAAAAGGAAACAATAACAATCGCACGTCCTTTCCAGCGCACGTCGCGAATTCGCTGCCTCGAGTTCATTTCTCGCGACTGCTCGAAAGCGATTGGGCCGCGCGAATGTGCGAGAACCCAAACAACGTGTAATTAGCGCGTCGTCTTTCACTGGTCGTTCGCGGCACCTCTCTTTCTCTCCCAAGCTCCCACCATTTACTTTTTGAACAGAAAGGAACTCTTGCTCGAGGATAACGATAACATTTAGTGTTCCTCCGATACGACCTTCCTCCCTTCCACCGTCTGCCCTCCTCTCTCAACCTGCCTCCTTATTTCTTCTTGCTTTCATTTATCTGTCTCGTTCTCAATGCGAAACCGATTGTGCCAGCACCCGCGGGTCTTGTTCTACACACTCATGCTTTTTTCCGCTTAGCGTCTTTCGATTAACGACTTTCTTCTTTCTTTCTTTCTTTCTTTCTTTCTTTCTTTCTTTCTTTCTTTCTTTCTTTCTTTCTTTCTTTCTTTCTTTCTTTCTTTCTTTCTTTCCTTCTTTCTTTCTTTCTTTCTTTCTTTCACCTAGCGTACGCGAATGCTCACTTCCAGCGTCCGACCTCTCTGTCGAACCCCTCCATCGTTACTGTTTACTTGAAGAGAAGTTCGCCGTCACGACGTTTCCTTTATTTTAACCACCTCCTCTTTCGTTCTGTGCAGGGGCATATGGAACGTGCCTTTTGTGAACGGGGCGTACCTGATCAATGGTTCGCTGGTCAAGTCGCGCGAGAAATTCCCATCCTTCATCAACGGTCTCCTGGATCCCGACATGGCCTTCTGCAAGAACATGCGCGACAAGGTACGTTTACGAACGCCGGTTCCCCTCCGTTCTTATTATTATTTTTTCAATCTTTTCTGTTTCTTCCTTTTGCAATCCCTTTATCGACTCAAATCGTATCTCCTTTTCTCTCTGTCGTCCTTGGGTTTTGACTCTTTTTCCTACATTCTTTATTCGTTTAAACCTGCCGTAACTCTATAAATGGGGGCTGTTTCGCTCTCTCTCTCTCTTCGTATTTCATTCCTTTCAGTATACTGAGTTGCCAACAAAAAACTTAACGTCGCCTGTCCATTGTGTGCGCGATATTTTATCTTCTAGTGTCGCGCGGAGCGCCTTGTATTCTCTACCCAATCTACAGAAAGCGTCGGCCTCTTGTTTGTTTTCATTGTCTAATCGAAAGTTCGATCGCCTAGTGGGAAATAAGAAAGAAAGAAAAAATCGCCATATTTCCCGATACGTAAACGACGTCTTGCTATAAAAATATGACGGCTTCATATTGCAGCGCGCGAAATTACATTGGCCAGACGTTTGTAATAGCAAAAACATATAGCGCCTTGGCGAAGACAATTGAGTTTTGCTCCCGACACCACCGACCGAAACGATTGGTTGTATGTTCCAGTAATAAGTTCGGGACTACATTATTGATAGGCTGTAGGAACCGAAGCGCTGCAGCGTACTTCTCAAGCGAGCACGAAGTTTTAAATGCTCGGGTTTAATGGTAGTGGAAGTGTAATAGGAGTCAGTTAATCGTAGAGAGAGAGAGAAGCAATTTGTGGTGCAGTTTTCTTAGATATTCGGGAAACTTCTCTTCGGTCAGTTCAAAAATAATAACAAAAAGCAAGGGATACGAAGTTGCTTGAGTTTACATTAAAATGGTGGGCACTGCGTACTGCAGCTCTTGCAGTTGCCTAGGTGCGCTCAGGTTTGCTGAACTCTTTTCTTTGTGCTTGGCGAGAACTTACTGCTTTGTGTTCGCACTCAGAAATCCTACCAGGTTGAACGAATTTTCAGTTCTGCTTTTATAAAGCGAACTACGATCACGTGTAACCGTCACCGCATTCGTAAGTTTGAAAGAGCCGCTCAAGCACAGTACACAAGGTCATTGTTAGGAGATTGTGCTTGAGCCATTAAAATCATGTAAATAATGCCGGAAGCTTTTAGATTAGGGTGCCCCTACAGAACACAGGAACCAATCCGGTTGTTGAAACGCAGTTAATTCAACATATTTTCGACGTAACGATAGCATCGTTTTCTTTTACTTCTTGTCTTCTTTGTGTTTAAGTACAGTTGTCGCCGGCAGCTGAAGTTTGTGCGGGATAATCTGGTCCTCATTGTTTCACCTAAAATCAACTCTCGCAGTGCCTGGCATTTGTCGTGATGCCACTGTTGCGGCAAAATTAAGTGCTGTAGCGGTGAATAATAACCATGCTGCACATGGCCGGACGACATCCTTACTGCAGACTTTTAGTCAGCACTGAGGGACATTCTAATAGTGTTGCTCCCGCCAACTTCGGGTGTGTGGTCGAGTGCCATTATAGACCATGATGACGGGTACTAGTCAAAACTCTCTGCTCTCTTTTTCAACTGGTGATGACGCAATTTGAAATTCGCTCACTGCATTCACATGACGTCACAGGCTTTCGCAGCATGCTTTGATAACCGCATAGACGTCTACTGTACAATTCCGTTACATTCAATTGGTTGCTGCCGCGCAATTACTCTTTATTATTAAATATGAAGGAATACTGACGTGAAATTTTGTGGTTAGCGTTGCCTGCAGAATCTATTTCACCAAAGGTGCGTATGGGATATACCAAATCTCAGTAGACAATACAACTTGGAAGGTAATTTATACGTATGAAGTTCACGTGCACCATGCAGCGCTATACGCCGAATCTCGTGACGTTTATATCTTACAAAGTGACCCCAAACTCTCGCGACGGCTCCAGTGCAGCCGAGCTCCGAGATGCCCAGCTGGATGATGACGTCATGGTCGCCAATTTCGCACTCGCTCCAGCAAGCTGACATGCGGCGGCTGCTCGCGAGTCGGTGGCCGCGGTAAGCACGGGAAAGCCTCATGAAAGTCGTTACCACCAGATGGCGACGATGACTGTAATGAACTCGCGCGGCACGATCGCACGGGAAAGAATGCCAGCAGACTGTGCGTGCACGCAGTGCCGAAGTGTGACAGAGTTATGTTGGCCGTTTCGTACGCTGGGATGGCGTTAAAAGCACGCAGCGGCTTGTCACTCTCGGAGCTCTGCCAAAAAGAGAGACTGGTTGGCTAATGAAGTGACTGTAATCAATTACCTATCCCAAGCTGTAGTAAGTGATGTGTCGTGTTTTGACTAATAGGCCGGCAGCAACACATTGCTGGAGAAAAGGGCACTTCAGAATGTTTGTGTCTGTACCCCTTGAAAACTTGACTCGCGCTTCCTTGGGTTTGAGCCGTGTAGCCTAAAATAGTGTGACTACATCCCATCTGAAGTGCCTACTGATGATGTTATGAACGAACGAGAGACGGAAAACTAGATGATAAAGGGTGCCTTTCCTATTAGGCACGAATGTATGAGGACAGCAGTTTATGAAGGGAAGGAAACATTGGTGGCGTTTGTTTGTAGATTTTGGTTGAAGAGGACCAATTATGAGATCAAGAGAAATGAAATTGAACTGAGAAGCAACTTTGATAGACGAAGTAGAGAAACGGCAAGCGAGTTTTTCTGCAGGACAGCAGTGCCATGCGGATGAACCCACTCACTGAATGCTAGCTGCATGTTTCTTTCTTAACGTTTTCCGAGAGCCGAGGCATCGTTGTGTTGTCAAAACTAAGTTTAACCATTGCGGGGCTGGGGAAGGTGAAGGGCGTTCCTTCAAAAAAAAAAAAGGAACGTCCCCTCGTATCTCCAGTCCGACCGTGGTTTCACATGATTTGCCTGCTGTACATGTCGTTTAGTTGGTATTATTCACGTGGTGAATTGTTGGACCTTTCCTTTCTATTTTAGGGTATATTTATGTTCATGACAAACATGGACAACTACGGTCACCTCATAAACGCCGAGACGTTTGACATTAGGCACAAAAATCCAGACTTCTATGAAATCTACAGCAATCAAAAGGTATGTAACTACGTTTTTAGAAGCAATAATGGTGAGGACTTCATATAAGCTGAAGCTTCATTATGAATACTACTTTAAGTTCGGAAATGCTCACATAGTATTTTTCTAGACGTTGAGATGGTCACTCCAATTATGGCAAAACATTTCAAATGCGAATGCATTTCTTAGACGGGTTATGTAAGTCATCCGACAGCCGCGCGCCGGCAGGTGTTATCTCTTCGCTCTCAATCGCTCTCCCATAGCAATAGCTGCGGGCGTGCGTGCTTATCCTTGCCCCTAGCAAGCGGAGAATGTGGTGCGAGAGAGTGTAAGAGAGGGCAGGTACAGTGCTTCGCCGCTCTTCTCGCCGTTCGCTCTCTCTCCTCTCTGCGCCCCACCCTTCCGTCCACTCGCGCTTCACTCTCGACCGTTCGCTGGCTGGGCCCCTCTCGTGGCGATGGCTGAAGTCGGTGAAGGCATAAAGTTTCCCACAATACTTACTAGAGGAAACTCTGGCGCTAGTGTCTATGGGAGCTGCAACACGCGGCGCTTCAGCGAGCATGAGAATGATGGGTAGCACACACATTTGTCTAATTTTCGTACTTCTGGCCTGCTTCTGGCTCCGTGTATGTTCGTGTGGCTTGGAGTTGTTTTTTCGCGAAAACATAATTAGCAAATGTTCACCGTTTGCGCTTCACAACCTTATTCTCTTAAGCTTACTATTTCGAATCAAGTCCCTAAGTTCAAAAGGGCTCGTTCTTTCTTTCAAAACAAAACCGTAACGAGCAATAAACGAAGCCGCAAGTACGATTCGCCGCCCGCAAGTATGAAGACTAGGCAAATGTGTGTACTACCCATCATTCCCATGGTCGCTGAACGATTGCAGCGCCAGAGTGCCCTCTAGTTAATTTTGGGAAACTCTATGGGTGAAGGTGAATGTCTGACGGCAACGGTGCCCCCTCTCGGCGCAAGAAATGCATTCGCATTTCCTCACGATTCCCTCCGGGAAGGTGGGGGCATTTTTTGTATTACTTCTTTTGGTACTGTCATTTTGAGGCTTTTTAGTTGCTAAAATTTCTGTTACATTGAAATTAGTGTACGCCATACACCCGTTCTGCTGTAGGTATGTGTTGATTTTTCCAAAATGTTAGATTGCTGTCAATATAACTGTGCAGACAAGCTGTTAAGACTGACCTGGAATTTACCATTGACTTATTAAATTCAGCATAAAGTTCATTAGCATTTATTTCCTTGATTTAATGCATCAGTCTACAGCTAGCCAGTTCTTCCATGTCTTTGCATATTGTAGTTGTTAATGTAATACGCGTGACAATTATGATAATGTTTTGGTAACCTCAAAACTACATTAGAGCTTACCAGTTCGAACAATAACAATTTATGAATTGTCAGCGCATGTTTTTTAATATGTTCTGCAGTTTACCATTACCATGACCAGTATTTCATATTTTCCTGTTGAGTGCACACATGTTTCTTTCCAGGACTGGGAACGACGTTACCTTCATGAAAATTACACCAAAGTTCTTGACCCCAGCTACAAAGTTGATATGGTGAGGTTCAAAAAAACATCTGCTGCTATTTGTTATTTATTTCTGTTTGTCTGATATATTTCACATGATTTCAAGACTTCAAATTGATTGTAGACAGAATTAGTCAAAAAACAAACAAATGTACAAAACAATAAACATTGTCCAGTGTACTGTGTGCAGATATGTTGGATATTATCTTAGTGATGAGTGATTGAGGTTGAAATAACATACCTCTGCACTTTTTCCTAGCTTAAAAACTCATATGGCAGAAAAGTATGGGGTCCATGCATAATGAAAATATAATATGCAAAGAGTAGGAATGGTCTTGTTTAGGATTTGTCATGTTGAAAACATTCAGAAAAGGAGATGTAAGAATGCTTACAGCATGCGCACGACGGCATGATATCAGTTAGACTAAGGGTTTCTTTCGTTTATGCAGATAGCATACCAGGAATGATGTTGTGAAATGAAGCCCATTGTACAGTAATGAAGATTTTGCAGAATGATTTCAATCTTTTTTATATTGTAGTGACTGCTCTTTAGTTGCAAAGTATGCTTATTCTGGCAATATTTCCAAACATTTCAGCCTTGTCCAGATGTGTACTGGTTCCCAGTGGTCTCGGAGACCTTCTGTGAGCACCTAATTCAGATAATGGAAAATTTCGGAAAGTGGTCCAGTGGCACAAATGAAGTAAGAATCTTTTCAGCACGTTTCCGCACCCTGAAAATATGCATATGTATTTCTTTATTTTCCTCCTGTGGTTACAGGAGGTTTCTCTGGCTGTTTCATTTGGAAAAGAACATACAAACACATGAACTAAATTGAGGACATATCACAAATTTAAAATTTAATCAAAAATAAAAAAAAATTCTGCAAGATCAATACACTTGAGTAAGTAGAAAGTGAGATTGAAAGGTTTGCTAGTTTTATGATTCTTTGTTCCATTGTGTAAGAAATTGAGCATAATCTGAATTATATGGCTGCATGTTAGGAGTGAGTTTCAAAATTTAATTATTTTCTATTACCAGCAAATGCGGCGAGATTCAACTACTGTTGAAATAACGAATTCACAGAGTGTAGTATGACCACTCGTAAGTTCCTTTCAAAATGAAATGGTTGTACTAAATTTGTAGTGTTGCCAAACATAATTTTCTCCTAAACTCTTGTGTATAATCCTCTCACTGTGTCTTCTGGTGAAACTTTGCAGGATGAACGTCTTGCTGGTGGCTATGAAAACGTCCCAACCAGGGACATCCACATGAACCAAGTTGGCTTGGAACAGCACTGGCTCTATTTTCTCAGAGAGTACATCAGACCTGTGCAAGAAAAAGTTTTCGTGGGATACTTTCATGATGTGTGTAGCTTCTCATATTAAAGGGTTCATGATATATACTTCTAAAGAAAACATTTCTGCATGCTATTTAGCTATGTAAACATGTAATCCTCTTATGCACACTTCATTTTTGCATTCGCTCTAAAAGGTTCCACAAATGAAAGTTTTAGAAAAATAGCATAATTGCTATTGCGATAGCAATAATATAGACACTTTTGTGTTATTTTTTTCGTCGCTGTCATGTCCCACATATGTTTGTGTAAAGCTATAAAAGGCAGAGAGGAAAATTAACCAGGAAAAAAAAATTTTTCAAGGCACCCACTGGAGTTTAGAACCAGTGACACTTCGCTCCTCAGTGTGCTCCATTAACTAACTGTACCACATCACTTATACTGTCGATCTCACTTACAGCGAGCTATGTGTATACACCATTTAACACATGCCTCCTGTGAATGAACCTAAACATTCTTGAACAAAGCCTGTACAGGTCCCATGGTTTTATCAAAGGAGGGATGGGTTCACTGGAGCGCATGCAGTTGGATGAAAGGGACATTCCAAAACTTCTCTGTCTCCACTTTCACTCTGAACAACAGGAAAAATTGCTCATATCAAGTTGCTGGTCTGGTCGTGCCTGTGAATTCTCTTCCCATCGAACTGGGTGCTGCCACTATCACTTTATAAGGACAAACTGAACTCACTGTCCCAGATAAATTGTGGTGATTTGTCATTAAAACACTGCACCGCTTTGTCGTTTCAACAGTGTACATCTCACCAGTAACCTTGCTGACTGGCGTCATAAACTTCTTGCTGCACAACTTCGGTGCGGTGTGCCTACAGGATGTGCCGGTGATAGTCACTGTAGACTACTTAGACTTTGCTACCTGTTCGACATCATGCAGTCAACTATTTAAAACAACACCTCTTTAGATGTTGTGGTTAATGCAACACTGTCAATTCAACCACAATCGACCATGTTCACTATATTTCTTATGGTTCCTAAATATCCTAGCCTTATATTGTAGAACAGCCCAGTGTGTTGCTATCACATTCATTGCTTTGGTCTTATGCCAGAACTGTGACATTTTTTGCTCTTTTTTATAAATAGAACTTATAAGGCAGAAAAAGAGCTTTCTTTTATGTTACATGAGTAAGTACTAATGTGGAAAGAGTATTTGTTTTATCAGTCTATATTTATTTACGTATATGCACAGGATATTTCCTTGCTTGGGGTAAATTATAATTACCATGCCAAATATATGTAAATGCAGAACTACTTTTTGAGAACACCTACATCAATATGAATGAAATTTCAATTGAATTCAATGAGTTTGAAATTCTGACTAAAAGTTCCTAATGAAAATTGCTACAAATTGGCATATAAGAAGCATTTATAGCCCAGTGCTTGAATACTTCTCTCCAAATCAAAGCAGATATTGCTGTACTTTAAGCTGAACTACTAAAAGTGTTGAAATGAATATGTTTTATCTATGATTATATTACCTACATAACATATCTTTTATAAGCATTGTCATTACACTAAGTTATCAATCTCATTGTTGCTGATAGGAACATGGAATCTAAAAACAAAAGCTTGTGCTTTGTGAGTTTATGTGCTTCAGATTTGCTGATGCTTGTGTGGTGCTTCTACAAGTAAATTTCCTTAATATAGTATGTATGTGCACTCCATATAATGAGTACTGAGTGGAAGATTTGGTTTAAAAGTAGCATTCTATTGCCTGTTCCCTCCTTTTGATTTGTCCCTGAAAGTTTAATCTCACAGGTTGGCTGGTTCGCTGTTACTGTAACACCACAAAAATGCTCATCTCTATGCTACTCAATCTTTGTATTCTTATTAGAACATTCGTGATTTGAATGAATTGGGACAGGTATTTAGGTTCCTTCTTTTATAACTTCACAGCCTTTATTGCATATTTCTTGTTTTGTCTACTTACTCAAGTTCATTTACAACTAAAATGTAGGAAACTTTTTTGTTAATTATAGACTGACTAAACCTTCAAAACACCCATTGCATCAAAACAAACATCAAATGTGTTTACAAAGAATCTTCAGTTATGGTCACTAGAGCCCTGTGAAATGACAGTTTTCACACTGTGCACACTGTCTCTCAGACAACACTCATGAAGACTGCATTGTCTTTCTTACCATGAAAATTGTTACACATACCTGTAGATATTCAAACAGGTCATGGTTTGGGAAGAATTTGGGATGGCTGTTTCAATATATTCATGCCCAAGAGGAGGCTTTATCTTTATAAGCCTCCTGTGCATAAAACCTATACTTAAGAGTTCATAAATACTTCTTTCTAGTTACAGCTGAGACACTCCAAACATTTCTTTGTTTAAAACTTTGTCCTGTGCAAATTGGCTTTTTCAAAACCTTCATTTTTGTGGCATGAACTTTTTTGTCAACCAGGCTCCCAGGTGGTTTTCAAGCTCTAGTGATCACATGAACTGCATCTTTTATGTTTGCTGCTTGCACTTAAGTTCCATTTTCTGCTTTTCAGCCTCCAAAAGCGATCATGAACTTCGTTGTTCGCTATCATCCTGAGGAGCAGTACTTCCTTCGTCCCCACCATGACTCATCGACATACACCATCAATATCGCCCTTAATAGACCACATATAGATTATGAGGTGAGTGATTTGGAGAGATATGCTTTTTTTGGGAGCTCAGGTTTGTGTTATGCCCTCTTGATCTGGTCCACACCCGATGAACCCTCATTGGCAATTGTACTTATTCTGCTTTTACAATGTCTTTTAGCCAGAAGCACACCCAGAGCATCCACTCTGTATGTCCTAAATTTTACAAAATGTTCTTATATTTAATAGTTTACAGAAAATCCATCTCAGAGTAACTTCTTTGCTCTAGGTGTAATATTTTTGTTTTCTGCTGATGAAACCATGCTGGACAACTATATTCAACCCTTTTTGGGTTGAATATAGCTGGTTGAATATATATAGAAAACATTCGCTATGTCCTATCGGGAAAATGAGTTTCGTGAGAATTTATGTTCACATCTGAGCAAGAGCTCATAGCCACATTTCTTTATTATTATTGTCACAGTGAAATGCCGTCAACAAATTCATTTCTGGATTTACTGACTGCAGTGGCATTCCCTATTCAATGACTGTTCATCTATTCATGCCACATGTTTTCCCGGGTGTCTGTTTTGTTTGCATTCATGCGTGATGTTTTTGGTATGGCAATAACAATTGTTATTTCAGTGATACTTTTCTGATCATTATAGCCTTGGCGACTTAAAAGTATTCAAGGCTTTTTGCCAGGCTAGGCATACAAAAGCAACCGACCCAGTCGTATGATCACATGGTTGCAGTGATTTCAACAAAATACTGCATAATATAAGCTGCAAAAGCTGCTATAAATCCATAATTTTGTCTTGGGGTGCTTAATGGTGGAACAGCTCACCCCAGCAGCAGTGAAAACATCATAGCATCACTCCACATTCACAGTAGTTTAGAGATAGGCAGCAACAATAGGAACAACTGAGCGAATTCTACAAGACATAGCAGCAATTTTATGAAAGAAATATTTTATCCTTAAATTAAAAAATGCAGAAAAAATAAACTGACAAAGGCATAGTAACAATGCCTGAGATCCTCGGCATAAGTGATGCAGGAGAAGATTTCTGCATGCAAGCTTGGCTGGTTCAGGCTATAAGATAACCCCTGCTATGGGATGGTATTCTGTCTCCTCCCACTCTGACTTCACATTTAATTTACGTCTATCTGTGCTATCTAACATGGGCAGACTAACCTGCAATGCTGATTGCGTAAGCTGTCGTAGCTATGTGTGACGTAAATGCCACTGAATTTCTGTGACACAAATCAGCTCGCCTGGTTGTAGCTTGAATCGATGGCCATCGGGCTGCACATGGTCTTGACTTATGATTGTCTGTAAGCGTAAATATAGGTTGTAAAAGTGTGCATGTGTTTCTCCTCAATCGCTTCATAATTTCTACTTTTCTTCTTACCTTCTTCATTGATGATATCAAGTTCTTGTTAATCATCCTGTCATTGCCTCTTCTTTAATCTCCCTCTCCACTATTTCTTAGCCTCTTTTAAAAGTTTCTATGGTAAAACATTTACAGAATGGTGCTTTGTAACTTGCACTGTATAACCGACATTCTCAACAAAGCAAAATTTCATGCTAACCTAAACTCTAATGTATACTGTCTTATTCCAGGGTGGTGGCTGCCACTTTCTAAGGTACAACTGCAGCGTCGTAGACCTCAAACGTGGCTGGAGCTTGATGCACCCCGGACGCCTGACGCATTATCACGAAGGCCTTGCGGTCACGAAAGGGACACGGTACATTATGGTGTCCTTTGTGGACCCCTAAAAATGCTGGTTTGGTTTCTACACACATGAGTGCAATTATGAGGTTGCGTTCATTTGATATGAAAGCTTTAAATTCTTACTCTATCTTCTACAAGTCATCTGAAGTTGAAGATATGTTCCGCTTAAATGCTTGAATCTTCATGACAGTCGCAATGTATAATACTCTGTGAAAGGTGCATGAAGGCAACTGATGGTTCAGTGTTTTCCAGTGAATTGCTCCCAGTGAAGCTGTTTTTGTGAAGTCTCTCCGGACGTTTAGGTTCAGTGTAGGAACAGTAGCTTGGCATCTTTTTTCACATGTGACGAGAATTTATACATTTTTCTGGTGTCACCACTTGTAGGGTATGTGAAAAGGTGTTGCTAGGTGTGAAAGAACTGTTGAGTGAAAGGGTACAGTGTTTCTGACAATGAGAGTAGTATTTTTAACATGTGCCTTTAAGAGTCTCGCAATAAGCTATATGGTGTCATGATTCTACTTAAGGCTGATATGCTGATATGACTGTTTGCCTTTGCTACTATCACCTTTACATCTACCTTCCTTTTCGAAAATTCAAAATAATGTGCAAGGTTTTCATGATTTGCTATGCTATAGTGCATTATATTATATGTTTTGCTCATGTTGCCATGTTTTTCATGTCACAAGATCTTCGCTCTAAGCAGTTGCTTTCTTTTTCTGATGATGAATTACCACAAGACAAGTTACTGTGTCAACCTGCTATCTTCATACAATTGCAGTTGTTGCATCTAGTAAATATTGTTATTGTTTGGAACAGTAAATAGTTCATGACATGGCTAACTACACATAATGTCTGCACGTGTTAGAGTAACAACCATCAGTCTTTATTTTGTGCTCTGTTGTTTTCACTGTCTTGATCACTAGTTTATAGTGGGATTTTTCTCATTGATTCACAGCAACTTTTTTGTCCTAGTTCGTGCCATCTCGTACTATTTTATTTCTGCTTTTATAAATAAGTTGTCTCTCAATTTTATTCCTGCTACTGCCATTTATGCATCTAGTCAAATTCTTTACTGTATACGCTGTGTCCTAGCACAATGAGTACATCACGACAATGGCTAATAGGTGTTTTAAGTTCTCTCTTGACCAAATGCTGCTTACTTGTAGGGGCTGATTTTGCTCAATTGTTGCTGCATATTTTTAAATCATCTTTATTTCAGAAACAGTAGCTTTTCTATTAAGAGGATCTGACTGATTTCAACGTGGTGGTTTTTATAAGGACGTTTGTTACCTGTGTTTGGCGCCTAACTATTTTTTCAGTAAATAATGGGCATCTTGAGATGAGCCTGGCATATTCATTGCCACTTGGCACGCAATAAATTATACCATATTGCAACAAATAATGATAGACATTGTGACAACGCAGTCACCTATAGTACTTGTTTCTGTACACTGCACTTTATCAGCATAACTTCCTACACTGTTTCTTAATTCGTTGTCCTGTGGTGCTGCTTTTTGCTTTTATTTGACAGGTTGCTGAGACATGAGCCATAATTTTGATTGTGTGAAGGATATGTGCACTTTTGTGTCATTTTGCCATATAAAATATTTGTAAAGAATATTAAACCCTTTTTTTATAACATGTCACAGCACAGTCACTGATTTCAGCCAAAACAATGCGTTAGTATATGCAGTTATTTCTACGTGGTATATTTCGCCATTTTATAAATCCTTCACACATCTACATAATGACATGTGCTGCACTTGTATCTGTTGGAAAGGACACTGCAAATTGTTGTATCAAGTTTTGTGCACAAAATTTGTATTGCACAATATGTGTCTTTTTTGCAGTAGTGTTATTTCCTTGACTCACGCCATCAAGCACAGTAGCTTAGAGGACATGAGTCGACCGGAATAAACATTATTGTAGTCAGTGCATTTGATTATGGGTCAAAATTTATTGAAGCCATGGCTGAGTTGTGAGTTAGCTAGGAAACTACATTTATGCAAACGATGTTCCCCGGAGATTTTCATGGCCTGTCATTCTATGTGCACAAGCTAGCTGGGTGCCATTTCTGAGCTCACCGAATGGGCATGTGTTAGGAGTGCCAAATTGTCGTGACCACGCCCCGCCGCGGTGGTCTAGTGGCTAAGGTACTCGGCTGCTGACCCGCAGGGCGCGGGTTCGTATCCCGGCTGCGGCGGCTGCATTTCCGATGGAGGCGGAAATGTTGTAGGCCCGTGTGCTCAGATTTGGGTGCACGTTAAAGAACCCCAGGTGGTCTAAATTTCCGGAGCCCTCCACTACGGCGTCTCTCATAATCATATAGTGGTTTTGGGACGTTAAACCCCACATACCAATTGTCGTGACCACTAGGTTGCTTATTTACGTTTTGGACTATTTGTGAATCGCAGTTTTGTTTTATGTGTTCTTAAGCTGCTCAAGCTGCCTGTCTATGCTTCTCGGGGCTGCATTTTTTTTTCTTTTTTTTCTGGTAGTCTAGTCTTATGATCAGTGCTGAGAGTATTCTCAGAGAGGAAAACGAAAACTGATAGTGCATAAGCATCAAGTGATGGTTTAATATAAAGGCCACTTTCTTCTTGGTTGAAGGACCCTGCGTTTCTTGTATGCCCTAGAACCAACCGAAAGCTTCCCAGTAGGTAAACTTTGCTGTATTGGCCTTGTAATAGTTGCTTTAACAGTTGTCATGTGTGTCTGTGCCTTTGTTTACTGACAAGTGTTTTCATAATTGTATTCAATGTAGAAGAATGAGTTTATGAAATTTGGGTGTATCCAGAGTCATACATGCGGCATGTTTTTGTTGTGCCAATGTTTTAAGTTGGTGTTTGTCTCGTTTGCCTACTCTTTTTTCTTCTAGTGGTTTATTGTAGCTGCCAATACTCAACTGCAATCTCTGTTTAGCTCATACTCCAAGCAACACTTGATGGTCGTATATAAGCCTGACGTTGCAGCTGCCACCATCGAAGGCCTACATAGTACATTGTTGAGTTTACAGTGGTGCAGCTTTCCCTACTGCTAAGAATGGCTCTTTAGACTTAATTTCTGGCCAATACTTCAACTGATTTGTGGTTGAAAAACTGCTTTGAAAAAAAAATATATTTTGTACAAATAAACAGTTTCCCAGAATGCCTGTTTTTGTGTTGTCATGTTTTCCTAGACTACCCTTCAGCTAGGTTTAACTGAAATCACAACCAAAAAAAAAAAGGAAACTCTCAGCGTTTGTTGGCCAATTTCTTGAGACGATGCGAAGGCGAAAGCTTTTTGTTTTTAATGATGATGTAAACACGTGATTATTTTTTGCATCACTCGATCATCCGCGACGCTGTGGGATGATCGCCGCCGACGGACAAAATTTCCGTTTGACGAGGCGTTCAAGGTGTTTGCGTTCTTAATTAAATCAAATGAAAGGGTCTGACTGTCATTTCGATGACATTTCGCAGCCACGTTTATTGGTCCCCTCCTTCAACTCTCGGAAATATATTTTTTTTTCGGGAACATGAAATATTTCTGTCGTATACAGATCTTGCCGTTAGAAATGTTTGGGACTGGTCGCACCGCGATTATACAACTACAAGTTTATTCAATCTAGACAACGTTTCCAAGCGTTTCAAGAAATTACGTAAACCGAAAATTGGGTAGACCCCGCGTACCGTGAGAATCGATGTCATGCGAAGAATGCAAAAGGATGGTGACTGTGTTATAATTTTACAGCGAAAGCTGCTATGAAATCACAACTCGGGTCACGCACAGTTGTCCGCTGTCGTGCTGCCGGTGTCCGTAATCGCATCGCGGGAAATCAGAAAAACGAAAATTTAACACTAATGACACAGTGGGCTCGAACCCGGGTGCCAGCTTAGTATTCTACCCCTCAGCTACGCCGGTGCTGGTGACTTGTTGTCACAACTTGCCTTAGGCAGGCTTGATGTTGCGAAAACAATCGCGTTATTACGACCTATAAAGCGTTTTAAAACAGCGAAAGAACAACCACGGAGTCGTCGTGCAATGCGAATGGCATAACGAGTGTATCGTCCAATGCTTCAACCCATTACAAAAGCTTGTTCTTTTTCACCTATTAACTGTGGCGCATACCCATTGCAGCCATAATTCCTCATCGTCGTCAGCCACTGCATGAACAATTGGCACATAATTCCTTGCGAGTGTTTAGCGGATACCACGCTTCCCAGAAAAATAACGAACAATAGCATAGCGAATGCGGGCCTACAACCCAAATTTTTATTATTATTAATGCCCTAGTGGGCACCAAGCAAGTGGGCTCGCAGTATAGTTATCCAATAAATGTTTCGAAAAGGGTCTGAAAAGCCGCTCTTTTAGCTTTCGCTGTGACTGTGCTGCGCCTTCCGCGCAAACCATGGTGTTCTTTTTTTATTTCGAGCGAAACGTTATGAAATGACGCTAAAGATATGTGCAAATGATGTAACGCTGATATGTTCAACAGTCGCATTTTATTGCGTAACGATGTCAACAGCAACATAGCTGAAACGTAGCGCTTGCGCTCGCTAGGATGGTAGCTGAGGGCCACTGTCCGAGGCTCTACTCTACACAAATACACAAATCAACTTCAGTGAATGGCTTAACTACAATTAACGTTACCCCAACGTGACGGCTTGTAACATAGAAACACTTATGTAATCTTCATAAAATTGCAGTGATGGCGAGTCCTGAAACCACAGTTGACAATTCATGAACATTTGGGTCTGTTTGAAAAGCAGTTCCGGCGCCTGACGTGGCTCTGTATTTGAATTCTTGATTGCCACGTGGAATGCTGGTGTTCGATTCCTGCTGGCACCCTGACATTTGTTATTTGCATTCGTTATGTCAACGCTGCTGATGTCAGCTTTTTTCTTACCGCTCTCGCGTTAAAATTACCAATGTCTGTTCTCGACGTTTAGGGGTATATATAAACTGTCAATCAGCTGTGTCACATACCCGCCCATGGTATGCGGGTATGTTGGTGTTTGTCCACATCCACATTATTCATATCATGAACAGCGAGTTCTATAACGTGGCAACGGAAAGCACTAGATCGGTTTGTTTGGCGGATCATGGGAGAGGCCTTTGCCTGACAGCGGGGGTAGTCGGGCTGATGATGATGATGATGAGTTCTATTCGTCATGCGATCTTACCATTCCATACTAATTTTGGTTTACCCCAAGTTGAGGAGGTGATCACCAGAGCACCCATACGTAGGGGGATAACACAGGCAGGCAGGCAGGCAGGTAGGCAGGCAGGCAGGCAGGCAGGCAGGCAGGCAGACAGACAGACAGACGGACGGACGGACAGACAGACAGACAGACATACAGACGGATAGGTGGACAAATGGACAGACACACACACGCGCGCGCGCGTGCGAAAAGTGCCTGGAGAAATGCTTCGCGCTTAGAATGTAGAGCATGAATCGAAAAGATCCCTTGCATAATATTATCTTTTAAAGGGTGCCTAAACAACCATCAATAATTTTCAACACCTCCGTTTGCTTCTTTGCGACAATGACTGTGCACTCACGCATTCACATTAAGGAGCATTTAAATGGCTAAGGGGAGCTGCAGACAGCCGTGTTAAGAAGAAACTGTGAATGCTTTAGAACACTGTACTATGGTAGAGTCGTGAGCCGCCCCTACGTTCTTCAAAGTTTGAACGTGTTTAGAAACATTGATTAACGATTTCGAGTATTTCGTACTCAGCTATTGGTGAAGGAATGGGCGACGTGTTTTTGAAAGAGTTGCTAACGAATAAGAGTACTTGTTACTCTATAATTGGAGGGCGAAAAGCCGTCCCATGGTACTTGAGCGAACAACGAGTGGTTCACATCATGGGAAGGGGAGGGGTTAGAAAAAAATTGCCCGCAGCTTCCCTCGGGGGAACACTGAGGAGGATGCGGACCATATAATTGGTTAACGGGGTGTTAAAGTGCGACTTACTTGGGTCGATGGCTAAATTGGTTAACGTGGTTGTGAAATGGGGTGTTAAATTGCGACTTACTCCGGTCGATGGCTAAATTGGTTAACGTGGTTGTAGGAGGGGGTGTTAAATGAGTGAACACGTACACACGTATGCGAAAGGGCGGCGCTGGTCGAAGGGACGTCGATCATTGTGTTTGTGATTCGTTGGAATTCATTTCACCGCGACCTTGGACGTCGACGCGCCGTACAAACCAACCGACGAGCGGTAACTGAGCGAGCGAGCGCCGACCTTGAGTATATATACAGCACGACGGCGCATGCACTGTCAGCTGTTGAATGTTCTCGAAGCGCGACGCCACATGCGCGTCCACTGGAGAATCAGGAGAATTGTAGATGTCGAACGCGGTGTGTAGAGGAGGAAGGGTGCACAGATGGTGGAGGAGTGAAGCGCGCGCGGTGTGTAGAGGAGGAAGGGATGCACAGATGGTGGAAGAGTGGGCGACGGCGCGACGGCGCATGCGCGCGCGTCAGCTGTCGAATGTTCGAGAAGCGGTGCGGACGGCGCGGACGGCGCACTACAAGGCGCGAGTATAAGATGCTTCCGCATCTAAAAGTGGGTAACGATTTAGAGTACTTGGTACTCTACTATGGGAGAGCTTAAAGCCGTCCCCAAGGCGCAAGTGCGATTATATAAAGTTGTTAACAATTTAGAGTACGAGGTACTCTACTATGGGCAAGTACGAGATGGTGCAGCAACGTACCACAGAGAACATATTTTGTTA